TTGTTTCAGTACCTGCCGGGTTAATTAGTTTGTGGAAATGCGAAGGCCGTTCCTCGTTAGCTAATTTGTCACACGCTGACGAGAGAGGCGAACACTGACCCGCCACAATGCATTGCGCGGAGAATGTGGCCTGCGCACCTCCGATCCATCTCTGGCAAATAAATGAAATCAGTCAATAAAGCATCGGAGGGTGAATATAGCTTTCTCTGCCTGGGTTATGAATGAGAACTCATTAAATTTCCAGGCCTAAAGAGTGTGTGTGTGTGTGTGTCAGTGTCTGTGGCATGTGGACGTATGTGTGAAAGAGAGACTATAGGCATGCATTTGAGAGAGAGAGAGAGAGAGAGAGAGAGAGAGAGAGAGAGAGAGAGAGAGAGAGAGAGAGAGAGAGAGAGAGAGAGAGAGAGAGAGAGAGAGAGAGAGAGAGAGAGAGAGAATATTAAGCTGAGGTTAAGCATGCTGTAAAATTATTTTAAGGCATAATTAAAAACCATAACTTAGGGAACGTAGGTGTTCAAGTAGACCTATAAGTCAGCAAACATTCAGTAAAATAAGATTAGACTTAAATTAGATACATTAAACTGGCTTAAAAAGGTGAATCTTGTAGGCTATAACTTAAAAGTTGAAAATGTCTTAAAGCAATGTAAAAACATGTTGTCATAACTTATTGATCATAGCCTATATATTTTCAGCCCATTCTCACCCCCAAGGCGTCACCTAACTGACACCTTGGGAAGCATTTTGACCATGCTTCAATATCTGACGCTTTAGGCGCCCTTTAGCGTCAGATAGATGACGCCCTAGGATCGCGCGTAACCCTACCCCCACCCCAGACCTAAACCTAACCGCGCCATCTAACTGACGCTTTCCTTTAGCGTCAGTTAGATGACGCCGTAGGATCGCGTCATGTGACTGACGCTAAAGGGCGCCTAAAACGTCAAATATTGAAGCATGGTCAAAGGTGACGCCTTGGGGTGAGACTGCGTTGATATTTTTGATGCAATGCAGTCAACTTGAATTAGGCTGCGTCTGAAATTACATGCTAAATTGAGTAGGTAGTAATCAGGCTTCACAACCATTGTATGTTCTATAGTAAGATGAATGCAACCTGGATGTAAAGATTCGCCAATGACCAGCGTCAGTCACTGCCATCGTCTCCCCTGGCCTCATGGGATATTCAAGTGTCCATATGCATATTCAGAATCTCATCAGGTAGTAGGCTAATTCACAGTCCTCATTAAACAGTAAGCAAAACATACCCGACGTTGAGGACTGTGAATTCACATAGGCTACTTTTGTCACATGGTGTTTTTGCCTGTAGGGGTGATTTTGATGCAACTAAAATGACCTGTTCCAGCATTATGAATTAATCTGATGTAATACAACCTAATTGAAAAAAGTATCACTGGTGTATCAGAAGGCATAAAAACAAAATTGTACAACCCTGATTTTTATATTTTCTGAAGATTTGTCATCACCATGATGCTATAATGTTGTGGGTGGTTGCCCAGGCGTTGCTATGTGTTTGCTATTTTGTTCATGGTTGCTAGGAGATTGCTGGGTGCTTTCAGGAAGTTAAACGGATTCTGATTCTGTTCAAAAATGCATGTGCAATAGTGATTTACTGGCTATATTTCCACCTGTATTTGCTTGGTATTGGTGAAAAACCTACACACACACAAAACACCCAACGTGTTGCTGTTGTTTGTATGTGTGTGTGTAAAGCAGAATTTAGTGTGTGGGTAATACAGGAGGACAGGGTTGTGTGTTGCTCATAAACGAGCTCGTCTTCTCTACTCCGTCTCAGTATGGGAAAGGCTTATTGGACATCACACGCATTCCCCCTACAGTTTATAGCTGAAATCAGCACCTTTTAGAATAACCATCTATTCTGCTCTCGCTGGATGGACCCAGAGAGAGGAGAGGAGAAGGAATGAGTGTGTGTGTGTGTGTGTGTGTGTGTGTGTGTGTGTGTGAGAGAGAGAGAGAGAGAGAGAGAGAGTGAGTATCTTCCTTATTTTCTGAACTGAGAACAGTAAATTGATTGAGTCTGACATAGTGACCAGGTGTTAATATAGGCCTATTTTGAGCACAAAATTAAATCCCCAAAACACTCTGTTGAAATTCCTTTTCCTAATTATTATTTCCCCCTAAACTATTCGGCAATTCATTCTGGCAATCTAAATAGTTGTTTTTTGTCCACACCAGCGGACGATATTGTTCTGTTTGTTGTTAGCGCGTGCTTGTCTGTTGCTTTAAATGCTCGAGCTCGCGTTTTTATCTGACAGTAGCTGGATAAAATCGTTCTGAAAGTGATTTTAACCATATCGTTTCTCTGTGCCGTTATCATTAATATCTGTGATGTGAACTCTGCATTCTTTAACATTGAGAATGTTTTTTTTAAGAACTTTTAGCGTATCGTTTCTTTTTAGTTATCGTCCTTCCATTGCTTAGCAACGGGAAGAAACTCCTGTAACTTCAGTGCCCAACCCGTATCACGACAAGACGTGAAATAATCACGTTGGTCCACTTTGGAAAACGTGTAGATGTCACGGTTTAGTTTAAACTCAGAACCATAAATAGGGCTATACTGCCCTCTTGTGTCAAATTATATTTCTATATTTATTTTTCCAACAAATAAAACTAAACCCACAATAGATGCAGTGGCTCAGTTGATAAAGCGTTGGGCTTTAATCAGTAAGATCTGAGTTCAATTCCCATACTTGCGTTAAGTTGTTGTGATTATATCAAACAAAGTGGCCTAAACAATATTTCTTCAACCCGGTTTTTTACAGTCTATGATCTAGACGCATGACTTAAACGCAGGCAGACACAGCAACAGTTGTAACTTGTAGGCAGGTATATTGATCATTAAATCAGAGTTTTGTTGTCTTGAATGATTCATTCAGTCATTTTCATTCAGTCATTGATTTATGTCACTTGTTTAAGTAATCTAAAAAAAATTTAAAATAAAAAATAACCCCGATTAGGGGGCCCCCTGGCGGCCGCTTAGTTCGCTCATGCCTCGGGCCGGCTCTGTGACAAAGGACAAAAAAAAACTGCAGCACCTGCTTAAAATGAACAGAACTTGCGTTAATTATGGCCACTAATAGGCAATAGTTTATAGTTGTACTGATAACTAGCTATAAAGCATATTAGGGTCCACGACAAGGCTCCATTAATTCTAATCAGGCGCTGTAATTCTGCTGATTTCCTTTCAATGTTTTATGGTTCATTCATAGAATAAAATCTTCAGAAAAGGATTCCAAGTTTCCAACGATGTCCTTCCACGTCGTTATCGTTATAACATTACGTTATAACGTTACACGTTTTTACTTCCCTGTTAGCACTTGTTAGAATTAGACTTGTCAGTGCCCAGGGACACCAAAGAGTCTTAATCCGCCATTGGTCCTTATTGGTGCAACCGCTACAGTTGATCTCTCTCGTGTCTGTGCATTCTATATCTTTGCACATAGGCCTTATTGATGATTGCAACATTTACATTTCTTTCCAGGGAATGTAAATTAACTTTTAATTGCCAACATTTCTTTAAATCCCTATATCTTCTGCATTTTGACATTCCTGTTGTTTTGTGGCCCTTGTTCAGATAACCAACACAGTTACATCTCCCTCCATCTCCTCCCCTCGCCTAGCTCTCTCTCTGCCCTTGAGTTTTTCTATTACCTTGTGGAAAGCACCTCGCCTGGCATGACAAGCGCAGCGGATTGACACTAAATCAGAAATCAACGCTAGAGCTCAGCATGAAGGTCACACTCGCTCACACACTCGTCTCTATCTGAGAACACACGCGATTCCCTCATCTGTGAGTGTGTGGGCCTGTATTCTCTCTCTCTCTCTCTCTCTCTCTCTCTCTCTCTCTCTCTCTCTCTCTCTCTCTCTCTCTCTCTCTCTCTCTCTCTCTCTCTCTTTCTCTCTCTCTCTCTTCGTGTGTGTGTGCGTCGAAGGGTTACACGGGCCCTGTGGGATTTTGAGAGGGGCCACATCTCTGTAAAGTGAAGTGATGGTAATCCTTAAATAATTACTCGGCATACACACAGAGTCCATCACTCTCATTCTTTTATAGACTAGAGGCAGAATGTCGCAATTGAGAAAGGATTAGGCCCACTTTAATCAATTTACTTGATTATTAGGTAGGTGCGATACTGTAGCCAAATGCCATACTGTTGGCTTTATGCGTGTGAATAATACATTTGGGAAGAGATCACAGACATTTATGCTCGAATATACTGAATGAAATCCCTGAAGCTGTGGATAACCGCGTTAGATTCTCAGTTCACAGGCGTGTACGGCCTCCACAACGGGGGTTTCGAGTTGGTTTATACTGCCATCTAGCGGTTGCGTGATAAACCACAAGACATGCAATATTTATAATAATAATAATAATAATAACACTGTCAGAAAAAAAGCTGTCACTGGGGCGGTACCTTTTCAAAAGGTACACTTTTGTACCTAAAGGGTGCATATAATTGTACAAATATGTACCATGAAGGTACCAATATGCACCCTTTAGGTACAAAAGTGTACCTTTTGAATACCGCCCCAGTGACAGCTTTCGTACCTTTTTTTTTCTGAGAGTGAATAATAATAATAATACAGGGCTAAAACATACTTAAGATCAATTACCTACAACAATTTTCTTACAGGAAGAGATCAGTATTGCAGATAATGTTTTTATTTTATTTTATATAGCCTATATAAACCAGCAATAACAAACATTTAAAATACTACTACTACTACTAGGCCTACTGATAACAACAACAACAATAATAATGTTGTTTACATAAAATGTTTTGTTTTTGTAATAAATCACAATACCACCAGCAATACAATTCAAAATAATGATTAGCTATTATGATGATGATAAAAATACAATAAATAATAATTTTAAGCATGATCTAAAAGAGTTTAGCTTGCAGGAAAAAAATATACATAAACACAAAATCGCAGATTGCATCCAGAATCCATTGGTGTTTTTCACTTCGAAAACACTGTGGGTCACGTGTGTCCCCTTGAAGCTTCCGTAGTTAGTCACATGAGTTCGCAGATTGTTTATAGTCAGCAGCTGATATGTTGCTGTCATAGAGAGACATAGCTGGTCGAAAATGCTCTCAGAGTGGTAAAAAATGATTTTACATGAACGTTTCCGAACATCGACAGTGATTTGACTCATTTACCCGGTGTAACTGAAGTGTTTTTTGGATCGAAAGTAGAACCGGAGCAGAACTGACACATTGTAGCCTATCAGACGCGTCCTGTCAGTCAAATCTCGCTACAGTGTTTCGATGTGGCACAGTTGTAAATACATTCCAATAGAGATTCAGTTGACGTGACTGATATTGTGTTTTAATAAAGAGTATCAACAGAACGCAGCGCGCGTCTCCGCCAGGCGGTTTCGCAACATGCAGATACACTGATTTGCCTTATTATTAGTTTGCATGTAAAATCAGTTGTGATTTAGAAGAGCAGCATGCTGCGATGGATTCTGGGGGGTCGAGAGGCGCAGGGGACAGTGGAGGTGAGTACAAGACAATAAACCACACATACAGTGGACATGAGTCATTCTATGAAACTGCTGTCTTTTCATCCCTCTTTAAGATTATATTACGGAATGCCATTAAGTGTTTAAGTGCAGTGTACCATCCATCAATGATAGCATACTATAGAAACTATAGATATAACTATACCAGGATTGACAGTTCAGACTTGCTAGAGTCGTGCAAGATGTTTATTAAAAAACAACTTTTCCATCAAATATCAAATATCCGTTTTTCCATGATTCAGTAAGCAGTAGGCCCAAACAAGCTATATATATATATATATATATATATATATATGTGTGTGTGTGTGTGTGTGTGTGTGTGTGTGTGTATCATTCTAATATGCTGATTTGCTGCTCAAGAATCATTTCTTATTATTATTAATGTTGAAAACAGTTGGGGTCTTTTGGTGGAAACTGATTTGTTTTTTTTTTTCAGGCTCTTTAATGAATAAAGCATTTTTTTTTTATAAATATAACTTTTTATAATATTGATTAATTAATTTTAAATGGTCTTTTTAAAATCAATTTAAAGTGCATTTTGCTAAATAGAAGCATACATTACTTATATAAGTAATGTGTGAGTATATACTATAATATTAATCTTAAACCCCGAAATGATATTTTAAAATGTATAACAACAGCAGTTCATTTAAATTTAAATATTATTTCACAATCATACTGTTTTTACTGTATTTCTTATCAAATATATGCAACCTCGGTGAGATTAAGAGAACTTAAAAACATTAAAAAACATTCTTCTGAAACATAACTTCTGAACAAAATGTGTTTTATTTAATAATACAGCAAAGAAAAGTTAGGCTGGACAAAAAGGAGTAAAGAAGAAGAAAAAAAAAGTCACAAAAACTCAGTGTTGTAGCATAACCCATGTCCATTTTGTTGGCATTATTTAGCAATAAGCAGAAGATAAGAAGCAAGTTTCAGCGTCCAGTTCTCTTAAAGACAGGCCGACGCAGTCCAGCGAACAGCAGTCATTTCAGCACATTCTGTGCTAGATTGAAGCAATGATTCGTTTGTCTATTATATTCTCTCCGTGGGCAGAAGAGCGCGGCGCTGTTCATTGGGGAGGAACAGCCCAAAAACTGTTTCACGGAGATGCAGGTGCTGAAAGGACACTTTGACATTGTTCGATTTCTGGTGCAGATTGATGACTTAAGGTAAGCAATCCTCTTCTTCTGCCTCTGACCAGTGATTGACAGCTAAGACCGAGTCAAAAGCAAACTCCCGGAGCGTGACAAGAGCTTAATCATCACAGCTTCAGGGAGTTTGGTGTGTGTGCACTTCAACATACACTTGATAGTGTCCATCAACTCTGGGCCTGTCCGCATTAACTGATTTAAAAAAGCCCATGTATATACAAACACACACACACACACACACGCGCAGGGTAGGTGTGTGTGTGTATGTGTTACGGCTGGCTGCTCCTGGGGATCTGGGTTCAGTAGGAGTGTTTCAGGTGAAGGCAGTGTGCAGAACGTCACTGATTGCTTTTAGAGTCCCGAGTCCTGTTTCTCTTCTCCAAGCCCTTTCATACTTCCTCTGTCTCATCCCTTTATCATAGTTTCATTCTCCTGTTCTTCCTGCAGACAATTCCTTTCTGAGCTCGAGAGGTCAAAGGTGACCTCAGCGTTTGTTAAGATACAATCAGGAGAGAACCGTTCTAGTGCATGCTTTTTATTTCAAACAGGCGGTGTTGGTTGCACTTTATTTTACAGTTCTATTTCGCAAATGTACTATATTGTAGTAGTGACACTTACTGAGTAATAACTAGGTACTAATCCTGAACCTAACCTTAACCCATGTTGTAGTTCGTTACCTTAAGTTGCTTTCATGGGTAAGTACATCAGAAGTGCAGTGCATGTACTGTAAAATAAAGTGCTACTGTGATGTTTGGTATATTTTGTGCTTTAAGGTTTGATTTATTCACTAGTTCATGCAGATAAAGTGTGTGTTTTGTGATGTCAGGTTTGCATCTGCTGGAGACGATGGTCAGGTGCTGATTTGGAATATTGAGGTGAGCAGAACTGAACTTCTTGAATATGCTAATCATTTGTTAATGATATGGTAGTCAGTCTGGTGCTGGTTGATTGTCTTTTGGCATAAGTAGTATAATAACTAATATTACTCATAATACTGCCAATAATACTATTATTTAATTTTAGTACTACTAATAATAATTAGTACATTTAAATTGCTTAATCGCGATTAATCACGTCTAACTTACAAGTTTTTGTTTACTTAATATATATATATATGTACTATATTATATGTATATATGTGTGTATGTCTGTGTGTGCGTGTCTACAGTTTATACACACACAGATATATAATATATAAATAATCAACACATTCTCATCCCAAGACGTCATATACGACACTTTTGCCAAAGCGTAGACATCCATCGCACATGGTATCCTTTACCGTCAATTGAGACGCTTCGGTTATGGTAGGTTTAGGTATGGGATAGGGTTAGGGTTCGACCACTAGGAGGCGCCTTCTGCCCCATATATATCTGCGTTTCATTTGACGCTAAAGGGTGCCATGTGCGTTGGATGTCTACGCTTTGGCAAAATCATCAAATATGACGCCTTGGGATGAGAACGGGCACAAATAATATATATTACACAATAATATATATTATTGTACACACACATATGATGTAAACAAAAATGTATTTATGTTAGATACGATTAATCACAATTAATCGATTTGACAGCACTCATATATATATATATATATATATATATATATATATATATATATATATGAGTGCTGTCAAATCGATTAATTGTGACAGTAATATATTAAATGACAGCACTCATATATATATATATATATATATATATATAATGAGTGCTGTTATATATATATATATATATATATATAAAACAGCACTCATATATATAAATGAGTGCTGTCAAATCGATTAATTGTGGATAATCACATCTAACTCATTTATATCTAGACAATATTGAATTTGATGAATTTAAATATTTAATCTTGCAACAGTGCAACAGTTTGAGAAGGGAGTTTTTCTGTGGAAAGTGAAAAAGAAAAAGAAACAGCAGAATTTGTTTGTGTGTGTGTGTTTCAGACTGGTGATTGTTTGTTGGAGTTGCGCGGCCATACGCAGCAGATCACTGCAATGACATCATACACCATCATCAGAGGCGGAAACACACACACAGCTCTCATTACAGCATCATCAGACCGAACACTCAGTGTATCCTTTTACACACACACGGGCTGCTGAAGTGTGTGTGTGTGTGTGTGAGTTGTGTTGATGGTTGTCCTTAATTCTACAGCAGTTATGGGATACAGATTCAGGAAACCGAGTGCAGAATATATCTGATCTCCAGTCCTCTGTGAAGGTATAGTACGTCAACCGTGTGTGTGGCCACATTCCTGTTTCAGTGTGCAGATGGTTTGGATTGTGTATGTAATCAGGTTTGTTCCTCTTTCAGTGTGTGTAGGTGGATTCTGTGTGTTTGCACACTGATTGATGTGTGTGTTTTTCAGTGTTTGCTGGTGTTGGATCGCTTGGACGTGTGGCTCTCGGGTGGAAATGAACTGTGTGTTTGGAACAGAGACTTTGAGCTGCAGTGTAAAACAGTTCATCACAGTGATGAAGGTATACACACACACAGCTAAAATGTAAAATATTACTGTGTGATCAAAGCTGAATTTTCAGCATCAGTCCTCCAGTCTTCAGTGTCACATGATCCTTCAGAAAACAATCTAATATGCTGACTTGCTGCTCAAAAAAAACATTTATTATTGTTGAAAAGAGCTGTTCTGCTCAATTTTGTTTTTGTTTTTAAACCACGAGAGATTCAGATTTTTAGGATTATTTGAACGGAAAGATCTTTTGAATAGAAATATGAATAGAAATAGAATATAATTCTTTTGCAGCACTATAAATGGCCTTACTGTCAGTTTTTATAAATTGAATGGATCTTTGCTGAATAAAGGTAATCATTTCTTAAAAAAAACTTTTGAACAGTATATGTACAGTGTATATAAATAGAATTTTCTGCTTCATTCTGAAGGAATCTCAGCCATGCTGGAGCTACCCAAGAACTTCATTGCAGCTGCCATGGATAAAGAGATTGGTAACTGAAAAAACATTTTTTTAAGATGTTGAATACCTAAAAAAAACCATTTGGGTTCAGTTTAAAAATGAGTAACAATAACCTTTACATTATAGCTGTGGTTATTTTCATTGTTAAGTTTGCTTTTAGTTAAATGAATGATCTGAAGGGATTTATGACGTTTCAGTGATTTTTAAGTTGAACCTGTCGGGCTCAGACATTGTGGTTATGGCCATGCGTCATCTCGCTGACCATCGTGACACCATCCGTTCTCTCATCAACATCAACGGTGAGACATTTCTTGGAAATCAATCCTATTTTCATTCCCCATACACACATTAAAGGGTTAGTTCACCCAAAAATGAAAATTCTGTCAGTATTTACTCACACTCGTGTTGTTCCAAACCTCTATGTGTTTATTTGTTCGGCTGAACACAAAGGAAGATATTTGGAAGAATGTTTTAATCAAACAGATCTCATTCCCCATTGACTACCATAGTATTTATTTTTTCCTACTATATGGAAGTCAATGGGGAATGAGATCTGTTTGATTAAAACATTCTTCCAAATATCTTCCTTTGTGTTCAGCAGAACAAATAAACACATAGAGGTTTGGAACAACACGAGGGTGAGTAAATACTGACAGAATTTTCATTTTTGGGTGAACTGACACTTTAAGATAGTTTTGTATCTACTACCAGCGTGTGTTGAGTATTTTCGTATTTAGTGTTGCTTATTGTTCATCTCAGACGGCTTGTTTGCGAGTGGCTCTCATATCGGTGAGCTCATCATCTGGGATTCAGTGGATTGGACGATCCAGGCTTATGAGCACATTGTGTGGGAGGAGCCAGCAGTAGACAACCAATCAGAGGTCAGACTGACTCAACAGAAACCGATCGAGAAGTCCATTCAACACATGAGCTCAGATGGAGAGGTAAAGCAGCGTTTAGAAACTCACGTTCCATTATAAATAGAGAAAATGCACGTATGCGTCATATAAATGTTGTCTCAGTTTATAGTGGCAGCTGTCGGCAGTGGTCTGTATGTTTATGATGTGCCGAGAAAGTGCGTGGTGGCGTATAGGAAGATCGCCCATGATTCTTGTGTCTTGCACACCATGCTGCAAAAGGACGGGTATGAAAGGCAATCTGACGCTTTCTCCAAAACATATTTTGTGAAGCGATTGAGTAAAGCGAAGTGTTTGATGTGTGTTCAGGCAGTTGATGTCGTGCTCTGAGGACGGCAGTGTGAGGATGTGGGAGTTACAGGACCTCCCCCTTCCTGCTGAACCCGCCTCCTCAGGTGAGCTGGACACGCCCCCTTTCACAGCTCTTTCCATCCGTCTGATCTCTCACCCCTTTCCTCTTTCCATCACAACCCACATCCTTCCTTCCCTCTTTCTGACATTGATCCAGATGTTCTCATATCATCATTCATCTCGCCATCCTGTGCAGAGGATGTGTGTGTGTGTTTACATGTGGTTCAGTCCGGTTGCTGTAAAACTATTAAAGGAGTAGTTCACTTTAAAAAAAAAACTTTTGCTCATACTGTAATTTACTCACCCCATGTTATCCAAGATGTCCATCCATGTCCAAAAGAAATTATGGTTTTTGATGAAAACATTCCAGGATTTTCTCCATATAATGAACTTTAATGGGAACCAAATGGTTCAAGGTCCAAATGAGAGTTTCAGTACAAACTGCATACTGTTCAAAGGGCTTTAAACGATTCCAGACCATGAATATCATCTTATCAAGTGAAATGATCGCTCATTAAAAAAAAATACAACAAAGTTTAAGTTTTATAAGCTCAAATGTTCTGTGATGCACGTTCGTGACTCTCCTGTTCGAATTCGTTTATCAAAATGAACAAATCTTGTTGACTCGGGAAAAGATTCTTTCATTTTGATGAACGAGTTATACTATTGATAATTATTACTCGGGGATCCTTGATTATGATTGGCCTATTGCAGCAATTGTAATTTTGGGATAATGTCTGGATGACTGTATCCCTTTCATATATACATTAAATATACCTTAATATTAAAATGATTTAGTTATAATGGTAACACATGAACTAACAATGAACAATACTTCTACAGCATGAATTACTTTTAGTAAATGTTAATTTCAATGTTAAATCAAAAGTTGTGAAGTTGTGAACTAACATCATGAACATGAATTAACTGAGGACAAAGTTTAATAAATGTTTTCCTTTTTTTTAACAAATATGACTGAAAAGAGAAGCTTGTATTTCCTTTAAAGTCTAAATGAATCATAGTGATTTTATATTATCATGAATTCAGTGTATTGTTCAAATGGTTTGGCCAACTGAGATGTTTGCTTTCTCTTTCAGGTTTTTTTGGCATGTTTGGCACTTTTGGCAGGTCCAGTAAGCAGTCATGCCCTCCTGTCACGAAACTCCCAGAAGTCCCTGGTCTGCGCTCGCTGCAACTGAACGGTGATCTGATTGGTCATTCTGGAGCTGTGCAGGTACAGTACACATGTGGGTCATGTGGCATGGATGATTTTTCTTTGACTAGTGGTATCGACCTAGTTTCATGAACTAGTTTTAGATGAAAGCTTTTGATTATGAGCGCAGAAACAGTGTCTTATTAGGAGTCATTGATTCTGGATGGAGCAGAGAATCGTTTTGACCTGCAGTTTAATTAAACTTTCTGACAGACTGAAGGATGTGATCTACATACGAGTCAACTTTCGCATTGATCACCTGACATGTGGTCTGTTTCACAAGCACACCCATCACATTAGCATTATTTTATGAAGTCATATCGCATGTTTCAATAAACTTTATTATTGGCTTATCTTAGTGGCATACATATAAAAAATAAACAGAGGGGTGAGCAATTGATTACTGTTCTTTTAAGGTATGTTCAATCTCTTATTACACATTCAAATCTGAGCTTGGCTGGAATTTTAACTTTATATATACATGTATAGTTTACCTTTGAACCCTTTTCCTGACTATGAAAATGTTTGTTTGGCCAAGGCAGTGGTGGCTAACAGGAGCAGATTTGACTTACAGTAGCATTTTTAACCCTGAAACAGAAACGTCAGAAGAAAGAGGATGAGAGGGGTGGAGGACAGGAAAAGAGGCGAATTGAGACTTCATCTAATGACCTACACTTCTATTATTAGTTCTGTGTATAAAGTTTAAGAATGTTCTAGTTCCTGTCGCTGCTAGAGATTTGGCTCCAGCAATGCCAAGGTCACGGGTTCAACTCCCAGGGAACTTGAATACAATGTTAAAAAAAACGAGTAAATGTTTGCCTTGAATCTACTACTACGGCATCATATGAAGGCAGACACTTTCAGTTACGTAAGCTGGATTTTATGCACGTTGGGCACGTTGAGTTAATGAAAGACAATCATTTATTTAGTGCATAATTTGATTTGTCAACAAAAAACATTTTAGTTGTCCTGAAGTGTCAAATCAAATATTCAAACGTGCCAATTCTTTCTGCTTTAGTTATGCTCATAAGTTATGTGAGGCAATCTAATTACGAAATATTAATTACGACGTGATTTGTGTGGAAACTTAAAGTTTTTAGAAAGGTCCAGCCGAATCATCAGTGGCAATATTGAAATCATATTGAATTCACAAATGAGTCACTAAAATATAAAATAGTGTGATGGAAATAACTTCTACAACCTGAAGAATTGTACCTTTAACACAGAATATGTCACTCAGTTTATGGCTTATATTAAAGGCAGTTAACTTATGAATAACAAAAATAGAACAAAAATGTATTTATCCACCTACTTTTTTCCAACATGGAAGCTATCTGTGAATGTATGCAAAACAGTGTTTATAACTACGACAATATATTAAAATAATATGGAAATACCACTTTGCAAGCAGCATAACAAGCTGTTTTGTAGGCTATAGCTAAAAATAACTGAAAGCGGAAGCCAGGCGGTCATCGAGATTTTGCCAAGACGTGTTCCTGGATCAACATATTTTGTTGAGCTGGACAACTTTCCTGTGCTAAAATGTAGTCCTAACCCTATCCCTACCCATAAGTCATCCCTAACTCTGATGTAGAAGCACATAACCCTGCTTTTAAGCCTAAACTTAACAAAATTGTAAACTTGTCCCTCAAATCTGATTGGTTGATTGGAATGTTGTCTCAGGATCAACAAAGACGTTGATCAGGGAACACGTTGCACTGGACTCGGCGCGATCACGTTCATCGAAGCCAAAAACATTCATATTACAAAAGGCAAGCGTTACTCTTACGGTAAAAGTAATTTGGATACGTTACTAAGGGACTCGTTTAATGTGGCTTGTGTTCTAGATGTTCCTGAGTTTTAAGGAGAAGGGTCTGGTCACCTGCTCCACGGATCACCTGCTCATCGTGTGGAAAGATGGAGAGCTGCAGTCTCAACTCCGCAGTCTCGCCGTCTTCCAGAAACTGGAGGAAAATCAGGAACTGTGACGTAACCTGCAAACATTTCCCCCATCATCTTCAGGTCGTGTTTTAAATACTAACACCTTTCTTTGCCTTACTAACCATCTGCAAAGCCATGTCACATCAGTGTTCAGTATGATACAATGCTTACAATGTTGTGATTTTAATTCGTTGGTTTTATGAGTGGCTTTTAAATAAGTGTCTTATAGTGAACTTCTGTTGATTTGTATATATTGTGTGATTGATGCGAGTGTAATTTTAAAACTGATTTTTTAACAGTGCAATGGAAACGTCTTATTTGTTAACATTAGTTAATGCATTAGCTAATGTGGACTAACAATGAGCAAGATTATTTTTGTTACAGCATGCATTAACCTTTATTAATGTTACTTTATACAGTTGTTCATGTAGTTCACAGTGGATTAACTAATGCATACAACTTTTGATTTTAATGTTAGTATATGTTGAAATGAACAATATATTTGTTGAAGTATTGCTCATTTTTGGTTGATTTTAACTAATATATCTAATAATCAATGTGATTTTGAATACCTCTTGAATGTATGGTTCTGTATTTCTTACAAAAGTGCAGTTGATTAAAGCTTGTTGTGTCCATGTAAAATCAGATCACAAACGCGTTATTGCAAATTTTTATTTTTCGTGTGTATCACAAACACAATGGTTTCAGAGTTGAAGTGAAATCTCTAAACGACAGCAGATGTAGAGACAGAATCAAACAGAAACAAAGCGAACAGACGTATGCATTTTTTTTGTACGATTGACAATAAAAAAAAAATCCGACAAAGCAACCTGTTGAATGACACGTGACCACTTTTAGTGATGGATTTGTTCAATAAAAAATAGTTAAAATACATTTGCGCGAGAAAAATGCTAGTGTGCATTCCCAGTACTTCGAAAATACAGTAATTGGCACAGAATCTGCACCCATCGATACAGTTCACGCTCGCTAATCGACCAGGCTGCGTCTCATCCGGTTCTCAGAGCAAGACCCGCCCCTGGCTATGATGTCACTGTGAGGTCATAATGGTGTGCCAATAAGAGAGCCCTTTGATCGTGAGGGTGAAGTGTGAAGGATGAGACTTCACGACAACGTTCAATATATGACCATGGACTAATCCGTCATGAATTATTTCACCTTTTTTTTTAATACTTTAGGTAGTTAGGTAAAGTTAGTAAGGTAGTAAAGTACATTGTACGGACAGTAGCTATGTTTCCATCCAGTTGTAAATTTAACATGCGCAAAATTGGACTATCACATAAAAATCTGCGAATAAAGCACCGTTTCCATCCCATGTGTTTAAGAGAACAAAATTGAAAATTGGCCAAAAAAAAAAAAAAAATTAATACAAATGGAAGGTGTTACAATCGGGGAAACCACGTGCACACAACGCAATAAACGCTGTCATGATATCTTTCGTTCGGATGCTGTTTTTTGGGAATGCAATCATGTGAGCTCTTTCGGAGAGGGAGTTAAAGGGTTACTTCCTTCTCTATGCGCCTCTAGTTAATTAACGTAGTGTGATTGCGTAGAGCTACGTCACACGTAGGCTCACTATTGGCCGACGCCGGTCATGTGTGTGATGCGTGTGATGTACAATAACAGAAGCTTACGCTATTAAACTAGTAACCTGACTTGAAGCAGAGAGAGAGAAGTAAATAAATAGTTGAAATAAAGTCGTTATTTTTGTTTGTTTTTGCGCACAAAAAGTATTCTCGTCGTTTGATAAAGTTAAGATTGAGCCACTGAAGTTACTCGGACTATTTTAACGATGTCTTTAATAACTTTTCACGGCCGGCAAGTTTCAATTCCTCAAGAAGCCTATGGACGAGTATGGAGGAGTGATCCAGCTCTCAGATTTCATCAAAAATATCTTAATTCGTGTTCCGAAGATGAACGAAGGTCTTACGGGGTTGGAACAACATGAGGGTGAGTAAATACTAACAGAATTTTTATGTTTGGGTGAACTAACCCTTTAAACCAAATCATTCGGATGACAGACATTTGGCTCAGGCGTTTCAGAACGACCAAACCAACATTTGAGCTGATGTGCGATGCAAATGGCCCACTGGTTATTTCAGTTATCCAATCACATCATCTGTTGAAGCAAAGTCATGTGAGTTTGTTGTTGCACATTGAAGGATTCAATTGGTAAAATGGTTTCCATCATAGTTTATGCACACGTCTTCTTATTGGATAAACATTTACCCACCTCAATTGAGCGTATGTATTTTATGCACATTTTAAGAATTTTTATGCACAAAAATACGTGGATGGAAACAAAGCTAGCTAGTGATAATGGCTGGAGCATGAAAGCGTCCCATGAGCCTGAGTGTTGAGATTCGGAAAAAAAAAAAAAAAAAAAAAAATTGCATTGATGTCATAATATTGACTTCAAAACTAAAATAATTGTGACTTATCCCTCTCTTAAAAAAAAAATGGATTGTTAAATTATGCACAAGGAGTCCAGAAATCAGTAATGCTTAAATAGAAGTTCATCCACCTTAGAAATTATTTCCAGCTTTAATATCATGACTTTAAGATTACAACAAAAATACATGTATTTTTCAAAAATATTATAAATCATGAGCTTTATGTTTCTGATTTTAAACCCTCTGGAACTTTAAAGTACACTACCTTAACTGCGATATTTGCTACTCTGTAATGTACAGAGGGATGAGTCAAAATGATTTTCTGTTGCATTCAAAATTATGCTCCAAATACTGTTGATAAATCTTGTACTGAATCCAGACTGTTTCTATACATCATCACTACATATTCAACAACAAAGCCACCAGTAACTAAATTATCCAACAACCTCCGGGACAACTAATAATCCTCATGTTTATATCACAATGGACCTTTGAAAAGAAACAATCACATGGTCGCGTCATATTTTAAATCTGCTGTAGAATCTCATCATAAGTGTTGCGTGAATGAGGACCGGTTTAACCCACCACGTGACGTGTCTATAACAGAGATTAAGGCATCAACTTCAGTTTGCTCTCTACACTTCACATATTCATATTAATATCGGTAAAATAGTCCATATAAATTCATAGTCAAAACATCTGACTTTCCCTGGTTACGTTTTGTACTTCAAATTACCTATAAAGCCTGAGTGTGACAATGCAATGAACTGTTTTGTTATTGAGCAGGATAATGCAGGCCTACAGAAGACAGGAAGAGAGGATGAGCAGGGTGGAGGACAGGAAAAGAGGGAATAGACACATCATCTTCTGGCCTACACTTCCATTATTAGTTCTGGTATGTGCTATGGCTTATCTCTGTCAGCTTCAAACCAAGAATCAGACCACCAGATCAAGACTCGTCTGAGAATTTGTTCATCGTGCGCATTTCGTTTTAACCATGTCATTTGATGTCCGTATATTGGGCACATTTTTGTACTCTACCAGCGTTTGAAAGGTAGTGTCATGAGGAACTTTGTTGTACTTTCCTTAATTAGTGATCATAAGGACTTTAGGTAACATGATTGAACAGCTATAAAAAAAAGAATAAAAATATTTTTACTAAGAAATAAACAAACATAAGCTCATTGATACTTGTTAATTTTTAGTTATGTGAAATGCAACTATGTAACACCATCAATAGAGTCCAAATTATAGTCCAATTTGAATTTCTTTCTTCTGCTGAACACAAAATATATATTTTGAAGAATGTGTGTAACCGAACAGTTGATGGACCCCATTGACTTCCATAGAATGGGAAAAAAAAATGTTGATGGACCCCATTGACTTCCATAGAAAGGGGGAAAAAATATTATGGAACTCAATGGGGTGCATCAACACACATTTTTCAAAATATATTTTGTGTTCAGCAGAAGAAAATTCATACAGGTTTGGAACAGCTTGAGTTTTGTTGGGGTGAACTATCCCTTTATATAATGGACATAGTTCGTTAGATTTACCACTAGATGGTGACAAGAGCATTCGCCATAATTTGTACAGCAGTATTTCTGTAGAGCTAAAAAGGCATGCAAATATAGTATATTATAAAATAATTCTTAATGCATTTATATATTAAATCAGTTCTTGTACAAAACTGTGACCACAATTATAGCTTTAAAAAACACACTGCCTTTAAAATTCATAAATCATTACCAAATTTCATGTGTTAAATCATAGTGTATACCAGTGGTTACACTGAAACACTTAACACGTACAAAATGTATTTTTTTAATTGGAAAAATAATCCCTGACGTCATCTGGTAAAAAATATTGTCTGATTTAGATCAAAAGTAATGTTTTAAAAATGTTAATATTGGCCAATACCCACGGATATATCATGCATTAAGAATACTTTATATAATACATTACAATAAAAAGTGCTACCAAAACCACTGTTCTACCCTTGTGACCACATTAAAGCAACAAGAAAAAAGGGAGGGAAACAGATAGAATCAGGAAGGATGAGAGAACAGGAAAGAGGAAAATCAAAACCCTGCGAGCTGCTGAATGTGCACCACATGCCTTTAACTGCACAATGCTTAAAAACACAGTCACTGAGATGCACTGCCAACCGAAGAACAACAAAAACGGCATTGGCATTGGACATCTATATCATGATGATGTCATCGCACTAGCGGTGGTGTCGTGCTGGTGAGTTTGGAGCGGTCGCTGTGAAGTCATCGTAAAGATGAAGCTCCTTTCCAATCGCGTCTACACAATGTATAAAGAGTAAAAGGCTGAACTCATCAACCGAGTTATAAACATTTAACAAATTCTTACTAAGCCTGTCGGCGAGCCAATGAAATTCAGCTACGCGTCCAACTGTAACCTGGAAAAAATGAGGTGCCCAAATAACAAATGACACTAACAGCTACACTTATTATTTTTTCTTAAAAACCTCTCACCAATCGGTCGGTGTGAGAGATTTCAAGAAATCTAAATCAGTTCTTTTTTTTTTTCAGTCGAAACGGCCAAACATCTGTTTAAAACTCATCATTGTGTTTGATTATAAACGTACTTTGGCACTGGATGCTTTCTGGCCTACAAAAGGTGAACGTTTGAAGCTTGTCGGCGATGTGTGTCTATGGTAAAAGCACAACCGAGATTACGAACACGATATACAGCTGAGCTCATTTTGTAAATAAATAATACTTAAAAATGGTGTAATACTTACGATGCGTGCGAGTTCTGCAGTCAGCATGAGCAAATGTCAATGTGTCAGTGGTCTCGTTATGAGGCTGTGCTGGAGTTTAGGTTTACGCACAGATTAGGGAATGTTGCATCAGTACGGGCCATTGCGTGAAGTAGGAATGTTGACTGCCATGTGTAAAATGTTCTCATATGCTTCACATTTATCACTAAGCAAAGCACATCATAACATACACTCACTAGTTCTTTCGCTCGCAGGCACGCATCATCAAGCTTCACGTTATTACAGTATGTGTCTGGATATACAGTGTTTCTGAGAAATATATTCTTTGTTATTATTGGCTTTTTATATCAAAATTATTGATTATTACACACCAGTCCTTGGAGTCTGAGAAAGGCTTGAGTCGTTCTGATACAGAAAATGCTGGAATAACGATAGCCCGCGGCAGGCTAATCCGTTGCAGTTTTTACATTCTGACACACTGAATCGC